CACTCTCAGCAAGTTTGCAGATGACACTAAACTAGGAGGCGTGGTAGATACACTAGAGGGTAGGGATCAGATACAGAAGGACCTAGACAAATTAGAGGATTGGGCCAAAAAAAACCTGATGAGGTTCAACAAGGATAAGTGCAGAGTCCTGCACTTAGGACGGAAGAATCCCATGCACTGCTACAGACTAGGGACCGAATGGCTAGGTAGCAGTTCTGCAGAAAAGGACCTAGGGGTCACAGTGGACGAGAAGCTGGATATGAGTCAACAGTGTGCTCTTGTTGCCAAGAAGGCTAACGGCATTTTGGGCTGTATAAGTAGGGGCATTGCCAGCAGATCGAGGAATGTGATCGTTCCCCTTTATTCGACATTGGTGAGGCCTCATCTGGAATACTGTGTCCAGTTTTGGGCCCCACACTACAAGAAGGATGTGGAAAAATTGGAAAGAGTCCACCGGAGGGCAACAAAAATGATTAGGGGTCTGGAGCGCATGACTTATGAGGAGAGGCTGAGGGAACTGGGATTGTTTAGTCTCCAGAAGAGAAGAATGAGGGGGGATTTGATAGCAACCTTCAACTACCTGAAGGAGGGTTCCAAAGAGGATGGAGCTCGGCTGTTCTCAGTGGTGGCAGATGACAGAACAAGGAGCAATGGTCTCAAGTTGCAGTGGAGGAGGTCCAGGTTGGATATTAGGAAACACTATTTCACTAGGAGGGTGGTGAAGCACTGGAATGCGTTACCTAGGGAGGTGGTGGAGTCTCCTTCCTTGGAAGTTTTTAAGGCCCGGCTTGACAAAGCCCTGGCTGGGATGATTTAGTTGGGAATTGGTCCTGTTTTGAGCAGGGGGTTGGACTAGATGACCTCTTGAGGTCCCTTCCAACCCTGATATTCTATGATTCTATGATTCTCCTTCCCCCATGGCCCTTCTGTGTGCAGCCTCCTCTCTGGCTGACTTTCTTTTTATCTGCAGTTCTTTTAGATGCAATAATCTCTGGTGCTCCCTCTCCTTTTCTGCATTCTTCAGCCTAAAAAGCTCCAACTTCGCAATCACTTCACTGCTTTCACTCATTTTCCTACTTTTCTGTTCCTACTTCCCTTTCCCAAAATAAGCAAACAGAAACCCACACCCCCATAAATACCCCCCTACTTTCTCCCCCCTGCCTCCTCAATAGGACAGGCTCCTACCCCATTCTCAGGCACAGAACCACAACCAAAACCTGCGCAGACTTTGGCCGCATCTCACAGACACTCAGCGGATTCCCACCGGCCGTTGCGCTGGCTTAGTCACCGGGGAAAAGTTTTATAGAGTCTGGCACCCATTTCCCCAGCACCTTCCTATCACTGATCCGAAACAAACTAGTTACACAAACAGGGACCCCTTGCCGAGTGCTGAGGTACAGCCACCTCTGGGGTGGGCACAGGGGCTGTTTATACAGAAAGAACAGTGAAAGCATTTTTAGATTTATGTTTAAAATAATATTTTAGTGCTGCCCTTCAGTCCTTCAAAAATGGTGTCTACTAATAACTAGTATGTTTTTACAATTAATCAAATGTTTCTCTAGAAACACAAGTTTCTTCTGTTTCTGCATGATAATGTCAGGTCATTTCTGAGCCCACAGGATACAACCTTCCTCTTTGGTTACAACAATATTGATGTGTTCTATTGTCAACATTATATATTTTTGTTCTTGTTTGCCAACAGGCAAAAAAATACACGTAAGTGCTTTAGTGTGCAGCAGATTCAGCCCAAAACAATTGTCATCATTCTTTGAATCAAAACTAAATAATTTATACTTATTTCAGAAATATACTAAACAGGATTTTATGTGCTAACTAAATTATACATAATACCATCTCAGTGGTGGCAGATGACAGAACAAGGAGCAATGGTCTCAAGTTGCAGTGGGGGAGGTCTAGGTTGGATATTAGGAAACACTATTTCACTAGGAGGGTGGTGAAGCACTGGAATGCGTTACCTAGGGAGGTGGTGGAGTCTCCTTCCTTGGAGGTTTTTAAGGCCCGGCTTGACAAAGCCCTGGCTGGGATGATTTAGTTGGGAATTGGTCCTGCTTTGAGCAGGGGGTTGGACTAGATGACCTCCTGAGGTCCCTTCCAACCCTGATATTCTACGATTCTATGATTCTACCTGTCTGATTCTTAAAGAAACAAATAAAGTTTAATTTTGATAAGCAAGTAACTACTGCAGATATTTCTTTTCCCAAATTTTTCCCAACATTTTCATTTTTCCCATGCCTTCAAACTTTCCAGCTCTTTTACACTCCAGCTGTTTATACAGGAACCCCACAATCGGTGCTGAGATGCGGCCGCCTCTGGGGTGGGACATGGGGGCTGATTATACAGGGACCCTTCACCTGGTCCTGAGATGCTGCTGACTCTGGAGTGGGTTGAGGTGCAGGGGCCTGTTTGTACAAGGACCCTTCACCTGCTTTTGAGATGAAGTCACCTCTGGGGTGGGATGCAGGGAGGCTGTTTATACAGGGGTCCCTCTCCCAGCCCTGAGATGCAGCCACCTCGGGGGTAGGGGATCTTTATACAGGTATCTTTTGCCAGGTGCTGAGATGCAGCCACCTCTGGGGAGGGTGCGGGGGGCTGTTTATACAGGGACCCTGCACCTGGCCCTGAGACGCAGCTGACTCTGGGGTGGGGTGGGTTGCAGGGGGCTATTTATACAAGGACCCCTCACCTGGTTCTGAGATGAAGCCACCTCTGGGGTGAGGTATGGCCAGGGGACGTTTATACAGGGACCCATCGCCCAGCCCTAAGATGTAGCCGCTTCAGGGGTGGAGTATGCGGGCTGTTTAACAGCCAAACAGCAACACCACACAAGCGTTTCGGACAGGAAGTGAAAGATAATCCTGCTTCCAGCTGACACTGCAGGGGATTTCTCCCCCCGTGGGGCCAGGACACTAGAGGGGAGCTGCCCGGGGATCTCTACCAGCACAACAAGATGGGGGGTGTGGGTCTCATTCCCTTTGCCCCAGGCAGGGGCTGCCCCCCAGTTGTGCCCTGGGGCTCTGGCAGAAGGGATGCCACACACCCCAACCCCACTCCAGGCTCTTCACTTCCTCGCCTGTACTTCAGTGGGCGTTCAGGATCCTGGGTTTCTTGTGTCTGCTTCTCCTGGCAGAGGCGATGCTCGATCTGCACTACCTCTCTCGCTAACAGCCCTTCAGCTGGTGAACGAAGGCTGGAATCTGAAAGGACAGGGGAGCTCAGGGTCAGCGATATGCAGAGGGGCTCCTACAAGCAGCTCACAGGTGGTCTAGGAAGGGTGTGGCTGGATCCCCTCTATCCCAACTGGACTGCATGGCTGAAGCTGAACAGGTGTCATCTCCACCTCTCCCCAGATGTGCTCTGGGTGCTGGCCCTGTGAGTTAGTGGGATGACTGTGCAAAAGGACCGTACATTGTGAGCGGGGCCTAGAGAGGTTTAGGCCTGCAAAGCCGAGGGAGGAGATGGCTGCTCCCAGGTATCAGGGTGATGGGTCCCATTAAGGTACCTGGAGAGTAAATGCAGTGGAGGAAGCCTGCGCCGGGGAGCAGTTGAGGGTGGACATTAACGGCCAGGGGAGACGAGAGCAATAAATCATCCCCCGGAGTCCTCAGATTGGGAAATCCCTGAGCAGCAGGAACTGAACAGGCCAATGCCCTCCCTGGTGCTGCCCTGGTCCAGGGCCAATGAAGCTGGTTATAGGAGGGGAGCCATAGGGCAGCACTGGGCTTTTCCACCCCAAGCTGGGCAGTTGAGGGGGAGCTGCAGGGCAGTGCCATGGCAGCCCTTCCCCACAAGCCAGGCAGAGGATGGGATTCCCGTCTCTCCTGTTAGCAGGGCAGGTGCTCTGCTCCCTCCTACCTACCCCTTCCTTCCTCTGACCCTGGTCTGATCACAGACACCAGCCTGGCTGGGACCGGACCCTGACCCGATACCCTGTGTGTAGCCCCCCCATTGATGCAGTGACCCCCTGGTGGCCAGGTGGGACAGTGCCCTGTGTGTATCCCCCAGCTCCCCCCCACCACACACACGGGGGGGCAGTGATCCCTGGCATCCACACAGGGTAGCCCCTGCTGGCCAGGTGGGCCCTGTGTGTGTGTCTCTCTCTCTATTTGTGCAGTGAAAAGCAGTGCCCTCTGATTATTCCCTCCCACACACACTGAGGCAGTGACCCCTGCTGGCCAGCTGGGGCACTGCCCTATGTCTAGCGCCACCAATTAGAGCAGTGACCCACACCCCCTTGGTGGTCAGGTGTGGCAGTGCCCTATTTATATCCCCATCACCATTGCGGCAGTCACCCCTGGTGCCCAGCTAAGACAATGCATGCTGTGTGACCTCTGGTGACTAGTTAGGACAATGGCGTGTGTGAACCCCCTTGTCCATCACCACCATTGTGGCAGTGCCCCCTGGTGGCCAGGCAAGGCAGTGCCATTAATGTACCTTACAAATGGGAGCAGGGTCTCTTGGTGGCCTTGTGGGGCAATGCCCTTCGTGTATCTCCCTATTGGAGTAGTGACCTGCTGATGGCCAGGTGAGGGCGTGCCCTGCATGTATTCCCCCCCATTACTGCAGTGACCCCTGGTGGTCAGGTTGGGTAGTGGCCTGTGTGTACCCCTTTTGTGGCAGTGACCCCTGGTGGCCTGGCGCTAAGATACAGCCACCTCTGGGTTAGGCACTGGGGATGGGCCCATGCAATTCCCAGCAGGACTGGAATGTCTGGTCTTCTGGGCAGAGGATTCCACCCTGTATTTAGCTGTGATGCTCTGAGTACCTTTCCCAGACCTCAGGAGGAGCTCTGTGTAAGCTGGAAGATGTAGTGCCTGCTGCTTAACACCCCTGCACAGTCAGTTTCCGCCCTCTGCCCACCTCCTGAACTGCAGCGTTTAATGCCAAGTCAGGGCAGAGTGAGGGCAGCAGCTTCAGCAGATGCCACTGAGCATGCGCCGTCGGTCGGTGCGCTCATGCTCAGTCCCCGCCAAGCCGCTGACGCAAGGCACGGTGCAGGCTGAGTCAGCGAAGCTGAACCTGCCTACGGGGTCGGAGCAGCGAGGCGTTCCCGCGGCCGCGGCATAGACACCGGTCACAGGCGGACCCAGGTACAGAGACTGGTGGGGGATGATTTCTACGAGACGGGTGGGTGGGGAAGGGGATGACAGTTTGATGGGG